CCATCCACCCATCCACCCACCCACCCACCAATTTTATTTAAGAGAATGATACTCAATAACAAATCTACCAAATCTCATCAACGTCATCGTGATTATCATCACTATCATCATCAACAACTCTTAATATTTATATTACCATCATCAAGGTATCATCATCACCATCATCATTATCACCATCATTGTCATCTTCATGAATGGCATCATCACTAATCATCATCACCACTTGTCATCAGCATCAGTTATTCTAATCCTTCATTACCATCATCAAGGCATCATCATCATCGGCATCACCATCACCATGAACAATGTCATCTTCATCACTGCAATGACTATCAATCACTAATGCAAGCGAAAGTACATCTAGCATATACTAATACAGAATAACGACACTTTGATGGTGTCATTTATGTTCAGTTATAAACTGACTGTCATTGATCATAATTGTTCTCATCTGTTCTCTCATTTCCTTCCAGATCGCTCAGTTTGAAACTTTAAGTGACGTTGCCTTATCCCTCTCCGCTTCACCTTCCAAAAACTACTTCTTCATGGTCATCGCTATCGCACTTGCTATAATATTCTTAGGCGGGTTAGTCTTTGGACGTATCTCCAAGAGAGTCAAGAGAGAGATTAAGGACCGGTGATCTTTCTATTAATCTTAAAGGGACCATAAACAATTGCTTTACTTTTTTGATATTGAATAAGCATTCAAGTCAACGAACAATGGAGAAACTCGATTATTCTTCCCCTTAGTCTTAACTTTGCTATTTATAGCCTAAGTTTTCAAATAGGGATTTTGCTTTCTCTAAGGGAATGTTTAATGAAAAAATACTTCAAGATGGAGCACCCATGGGTATTCCAAACTGAGGCTAGCAAAATACAAAAAAATCTCACCTATCGATGGAATTTGTGATATTTTTTGTATTTTCCTGTTAACCTCGCATACAGGATGGTTTCAAAATGGCTCCATACAATATAGCATTTGAAGGATTAATCAACGCTTTCAAATAGTTTCTTAGTTAGGAAATTTCACATACGTAGCAGTTATTCAATTATTTGTTCGTAAAATGGAAAAAAAAACAACATGAAAATATCATAAAACTATAGTAATGAGATAACTAACAAAATAAGGATAATATAATGTGTTGAAATGTTAAAATTCTCATAGATTTATGAGCAGAACATAAAGCATCTGGATTTGACATTGTATCTTATGAGCACGACAAACTCACTCGGACGATCCAGGGCTATCCCAAGTGCCTTTGCGAGCTTATTATTACTCCGGTTTTAATTTCATTAAATTTCATTTAATTTTATTAATTTCAGCTGTTAAAATGGACATTCTTTAAATATTTCACTCGCAATGTATGTTGGGATAGCCCTGGATCTTCCTCTGGTTCACTCTAGAATTGGACTGGAAGCAACATACGCAGACTCAGTAGCACATTTATCACCTAGGTGCGGAAAAAAAACAAGCGCTAGTGTACTGTTGATATGCTTGTACGCTAGATACTGAGTCCATGTGTTGCTTCGGACTCCATTGCCCATGCTAGGTTTAACCAATCGTTGTCTTAAGTGTACATGATTCTGAAGATCAATCGAGGACTTCAATGACTTTATTGCATTGTAAATGGCACAATTTTGGGGCTGGTAAGTGTGTTGAATAATTTTACATTCGTTTTAATATTGCATAATTATATTTTAATGCACCATAAAGGCACTACAGACTCGGCATAGATGTAAGGTTAGCACATTTTGTATGCATGTTATGTATTCACAGTAAACACACACTCACAAAGTTCGTTAGAAAGTAATTTGTTTAACAAAAATAGTCGATTCCTTACCATGATTTTACCACATGTCATAACATTGAACAGTCGTACACCGAATGCAAATATGACATTGGATTTGAATTGCTATTGTTCTGGATTGACCAGTCTTATGTCCACGTGGAAACAAAAGTGTTTTCACATGTATGAGAAACTACAACAATAGTTATTCAAACTCCTCGCAAATTTTGCATTGCGGTTATAAAGGAATTCTCTGGTATAAATCTAATACATTCAGAAATAGGTGTAAAATGCTAAACCATACTTTTTAAAATAACCAAGTTCTTTCGCGCGCTCTGATATGTCGACACCATTTAAGGCGAGAGTATCTAAAACGCGTCTTTTCATTGCGAGCGCGCTCTTTCTGAATTTGAAGTCTCGTAGGAAAAATAAAACAGTATTTTTGGTGAATTTATTATTTTAAAATAGAGATGAAAAACAGTCTTCCGTTTTAGATACTCTGATCTAAACATGGGATGCCGAGAGAGTACTTGAGAATCTGGAAAACTGAGGCTACTCGTGTTGGTTTCCTACGCTTCTCTCGTGGGCATACCCTCTATCGGTGTCTACACATTTGCGCATTAGTATGGTGTATGGCACCAACTAGGGCTCAATAGTAGAGTGAAGTCATTAAACCCGTGCAATAGATATTAGACTAATACACTTTAGTAGACCCTTATTCCATTGTCTACTTTTGTGTTTATTTGATTTTTATCACGGGTTGAATGCCATTATCTTGCTTATCAATAACCAAGTTCCTTATAAATACAGTCAGTTATAACACAGTAATAATGACAGCGAAGGGACAAACTACATTTAAATATAAAAGTATTTGTAGAATGTAATATGTGTTCAAATAAAAATTAAGCTAAAAAGCTAAAGTTTTGTTTGTTTATCTTTTCATTCATTCATTCATTCATTCTTTCTTTTTCTTTGACTTTTTCTTTGACTTTTCCTTTTCAGGAATGTGGGAATATAGATAAATGAGGATGATTAAAAGTAGAAGTCTAGAATTAGAAGTMTATTTTAACAAAAACAAAGCAACAACAGCTATGATAAATAATTATAAGAGGACAGACAGAATGACGAATCGTTCGCGCACGAAGCCAGCGCACTCTTGGAACCGGTTTTTTTTAACATTTTCTCCTTGTTTTTAGATAAATATTTTTGGTTTAATTTTTTTTAGAAAAGAAATCGCTCATAGATTTCAATTTACTCTACTCTTATCAATCTTAGATGGCGTCTTCAAATGTTGAAAACTCCTGAGGAAACACGAGCAGAGCGTGCGCAACCATCTCTTCGTGCCCTTCTGGAACAAGGTTAAAGAAGGTAAGTTATAGATATTTATATATTTAGTTATCAATTTTGGGACCGCTTGTCTTTATATTCACTGTTATAATTGTAATAGTTAATATTAAATATAGTTTACTGCTACCTTAATTCAAGAACAAACCACAGGCAACCCAGACTGGATTTTTTTGCCCTTCTTATTATCAAACTTCTCAAAGCTTTTCCAAACTTTTATCAATGCGGTTATTTAGCGCATTAAAGAGGTGTTATTCATGTAAGTTTTATTGAAAACGAAAATCAAAAACATACAAAAATATGCAAAAGTGTAAAAACAGTAGACCGCTGACTAGGTTACTGCAGGCCAGAAAATTCCTTCACTTATAACACAATCGCTTTCCTATAGATGGAAAAAATAGCTTTAGAAACGTAAAGCCCTCATCCTTAGCTTTCTTTTAGTGTATATTTTGCTTAGAAAAAGCCAGTTTTTAAATTGACGAAAATTTGGGACCTTCGAAAAAACGCGATTTTAGGGGTCGCAACTTCACAAGCCTTGTTTTCTATAAAATTAAACGAAAAGTCCAAATTTTTTTGGACCAAGATTTAAAGCTAAGAAAKAAGTTTCTAATGCATCTAGCAGTTTTTGAGAGAAGTCATTAGTTTTTCTTCTATAAAGCGTTTTTTGGCGATGATTGGATTTTGGGATCCCTGTGGTAAAAAGATACAGGCTCATTTGGCCAGAAATCTGACTTTTCTTTGCGATAAATGGAGTTATGTGAAAACATTTTCACGAAAAACGAAAGAAAAAGGGGGGAATTTCTTTTGCTCATGCACATATCATCTTAAACAATTTTTTTTACATAAAAAATTATTAATTGCAAAGAAAAAGTAATTTTTCTTGACTAATGGACCTTCGCTGTTTTAAAGTCTCATCAAGAGAATATGATTATTCTCTTGGTCTCATAGATTTAGTCATCCGTCTTGGGAAAAGACCCGCATTTAGTTCCGCTCGTTTTTTATCACCGAAAAACGCGTTACGTTTACTGCAGTTGAAGCCAAAACAAACCACAGGCAACCCAGACTGGATCTTTTTTGACCTTTTATTTTCAATTTTCTCCAAGGTTTTCCAAACTTTTTTTAACGCAGTTATTTAGCGCATTATATATAAGAGGTAATATTTATGTAAATTTTATTGAAAAAGACGTTATAAGAGCGTATACTGGGCTGCCTGGAAGTTAGAACACCTTCGAAACGTCAGAGCGCGGTTATGTTAGTACAGAGTCTGGACAAAATAGAAAAGAGCTGTCAAAAGCTCTGTAAGCGATTTCGATATTTTTTCTTATACGGGGGTTCCAAAATCCTGTTATACAGGAATACTCCTCCACGAAAACATGCAAAAACTAGTTGAACAGTTTCATATAGGATTGAATATAATGGATTCATCGTTTTTGAAATGATTTCAATTTTTTAACTTTTTTAAAGCATTTTAAGGATAGATATCTTGTCAGCTTTCGTGGATTTGTGGCAAGGGATTTCAATAAACTTTCACATACCGGTATTCCAAAAACCTGTTATACAGGAATACTCCTCCACGAAAACATGCAAAAACAAAATGACCAGTTTTTTATACGATTTAATATTATGAATTCATGGTTTTTGAAATGATTTCAATTTTTTAAGTACATTTTCAAAAGCATTTCAGGATAGATATTCTGTCAGCTGAATTGTGGGATCCCTGTGGTGTATTATGAACTATTCCTAATATTTTAAATATCGCGTTTTTTAAACTAAATTAATAAAAAATGCATCTTTTTGTCTCAATTACATATTGCCATAAGTAATTTTTGATAAAACTTCAATTATCGGAAAGAAAAGTCAGATTTTCGGCCTAATAACCTGTATTATTTTACCACAGGGATCCCAAAATCCAATCATCGCCAAAAMACGCTTTATAGAAGAAAAACTAAAGACTTCTCTCAAAAAGCGCTACATGTATTAGCAACTTCATTCTTAGCTTTAAATCTTGGTCCAAAAAAATTTGGACTTTTCGTTTTATTTCATAGAGAACAAGGCTTGTGAAGTTGCAACCCCTAAAATCGCGTTTTTTCGAAGGTCCCAAATTTTCGTCAATTTAAAAACTGGCTTTTTCTGAGCAAAATATACACTTATAGACAGCTTAGGATGAGGGCTTTACGTTTCTAAAACTATCTTTTCCGATTCTATGAAAGCGACGGTGTTATTAGTGAAGAAAGTTTCTAGTCTGCCAGTCACCTAGTCAGCGGTCTACTGTTTTTACACTTTTCCATATTTTTGGATGTTGCTGCTTTTCTTTTTCAATAAAACTTACATGAATAACATCTCTTACAATGTGCTACATAACCGCATTGACAAAAGTTTTGAAAAGCTTGGAAAATTTCAATACGAAAGGGCGAAAACGTTTTGGACTGGGTTGCCTGTGGTTTGATCTTGCACCAAACAAACCACAGGCACCCCAAACTTGCTATATTTTGCCCTTTCATTTTCCAACTTCTCAAAACGTTTTCAAATTTTCGTCAACACATATAGTTAGCGTACTATAAGAGGTGTTATTCATGCAAGTTTTATTGAAAAAGAAGATTAAAAACATAGACAATTTTGCAAAAGTTTAAAAACAGTAGACCGCTGACTAGGTGACTGCAGACTAGAAACTTTCTTCACCCATAACACCATTATTTTTATGTAATTCAAAAAGATAGTTTCAGAAACGTAAAGCCCTCATTCTTAGCTTTCTATTAGTGTATATATTGCTTAGAAAAAGCCAGTTTTTAAATTGACGAAAATTTGGGACCTTCGAAAAAACGCGATTTTAGGGGTCGCAACTTCACAAGCCTCGTTTTCTATAAAATTAAACGAAAAGTCCAAATTTTTTTGGACCAAGATTTAAAGCTAAGAAAGGACTTTCTAATAGGTTAAGCGCGTTTTGATAGAATTCTTTWGTTTTTTTTCTATAAAGCGTTTTTTGGCGATGATTGGATTTTGGGATCCCTGTGGTAAAATAATACAGGTTCATAAGGCCGAAAATCTGACTTTTCTTTCCGATAATTGAAGTTTTATCAAAAATTACTTATGGCAATATATAATTGAGACAAAAAGATGCATTTTTTATTAATTTAGTTAAAAAACGCAATATCTAAAATATTAGGAATATTTAATAATACGCCACAGGGATCCCACAATTTTATAAAACTGAAAATTCCAAAAAATTAAAAGTTAATTTTTTCAAGTATTGTCATATTTCCTGAAAGTCTCTTATAAACCTCTGAATGGATCATGGAAAATACCTCAACATTTTGAAGTATTTCTAGAGAAAATCGCGCTTTGAATTTGTTAACATACCACAGGGATCCCACATATTCCCCATTTCTCAAACTGGTAAAATTCAAAATTCTTGTTTTTGCTTATTTTTCGTAACTATTAAATCCTTTTATCAATCATCTCACTTTTTATTTTAAAATTTGGGTCTCTTGCATAGGATTTCAGCATTAAAACATCATATATCTTTACTGTACTTTCAGCCCCTAAGCCCTTTGGCAACGCCATGGAAATTACCAAAATAGCGTATGAAAAATAAACGGCGTTTGATGTAAGAAGTATTGAATTTTCTATTACTTTTACAACTGTTTTTCAAGACATTATTAAACAGCATTTTAGTTTTTCCACGAACTTTTCATCGCCATTCCATCCATTGTCAACAGAAACAAAGACATGATACTCAAGGGAGTGGTCAGCCTAAAGTCTCTAAAGATGAAAGGTGTTTTTGTATAGAGCACGCTTYTTAAGAGCACATTTTTCTTTATCTTGCAGATTTTTCATTCTCAAGGGATTCGTAGACATCCAACAAACTTATTCTGTTCCGCCATTTTGAAAAACGCCAAGAAGAAGCCATCAAAGTGTTCCAAAAATGTCAAGAAACCATCCGTAATATAGATCCTAGACGTCAAAAACAAAAGGTAATTTGAAATAGAAACTTTGTCGAACTATTAAGATTAGGAAAGTTAATAAAAATCGTCTAAATTCGTTGATTTTTAAGGATTTAAGTTCGCCAAGAACACTTATTAAACTGCGCAATGGCTTCTTTGGCTTGT